ATAAAACCCAAAACTACTAATTCCCTTTACTAAAGGGCCATCAGATGTTCATGGCTGGGCCAGGCAATCAAGAGGGGCCAGCTCCTGCAGCCGGACAATGCACTTGGTGAAGTGCTATTGAGTGCCACAGAGCTGGAACCGACTCACAGCTGATGGTCCAGTGTGTTTTCAGAGGCTGGACATCAGACGGGAGGAGACTGCCCATCTCCCCCTCACCGAGTGGCTGGGAAAGCAGAAGCTAAAAAATGTCCTTCCCTGCTGTGCAGCTGGAAGGGACTCCGCACTGTCCCTCCACTGGACTTGAGGGTGTAAAGGGCACAGCAGGAGAAGACCCACATTTCTTCTTTGGAACCACTGCTAGTGGCTCGGCACGGCCGGAGAGGCGCCCTTTTCAGCTTAGTCATGTAATTCCTTATGGACTGGGTTCCCAGGGCTCCCCTGGTAAAGGAGAGGTCCCTCTAGTCACGAGGACCGACACAATGACCCCAACAGGGGGCTCTCATACACAGCAATGCTGTGAGGATGCATCAGTGTTTTGCTCTGTGGAACGGTGGGTCACTGTGGGCTCGCCCTGACTCAAAGGTGTCTCCCAACAACAGTATCACGAGACAACAGCACGCCTGGTGGCATAGAGTCTTACCACTGCTCTGTGACCAGAAAGGTGTATGGTTTGAAACTACTTACCAGCTCCACAGCACAAAAAAACTCAACTTCTCCATAGAGATCCCAACTTGCCTGTCTCCCCAAAAGGTAACTGCATGACTGCCTGTTAGTATGTAGCCTGTTCTTAGCCTTTCTGCTTTGAGGTGCTGCTGTTCAAGTCCTGCAGGTCTCCTGGCAGCCAAATGCCTCCCTGCCTTCTTCATGACCATCACTGGGGCTCCGAGAACACTCCCCCCTCCCAATGCAAACCAAAACCTCCCCGGAGAATTGCCGTCACACGTAGCCTTCACCACCCAGCACACGCTTGCTCTTCTCAGACACTGCGAGCTTATGCCAATGTGAGGAGGTGTCCCAGTACCCACGGCCCCGAGTTCCATGCCAAGCACCGTCACAGTGAAGAACGACAAAACATCGTGCGCCCTGCATACGGTTCTCTACCCCATCCTCCTATCACTGAGCTGAAAGGTGCAGCCAGGCTCACCTAGGTGGGAGCTAGCTGCCCTGGCCTCCCCAGAACCTTCCAGAAACCTGCTGCACTGGCCAACCACTGAAAGCAGGCTCCAGGCTCCACTGCCATGTGTGCTGAGTCAAAGTGGAACCAGCTGGGTGAGTGAGCCAGGCATTCTCCCTGGCCCCACGGTCCTCCCGATTCAGTCCACCATCACCACCCCCACGGCTGCCCAGTCAGGAAGACAAACCTCACCACACTGACCCTCCCCGCTGGAAATGCTCTTCACCTCCTGAGCCCCACGAATCCATTTCTCTTAAGTCTTTGTCTTCTGTTCCAGGCTGCTCCGTATGATCTCTCTGGGGGTCCTTCTTTCCCACCCCTCCTCAGAGCGTCCCACCTGACCCTCCATATTCAGTCCACGTTTGCTCTCCATAGACGATCCCACTTATCAAAGTAAGATACTCAAGATACAGAACAGATATCCCAGATGCCAAGAAGAAGACAGTGTCTTGTGATGCAAGCTGCATTTGGCATGGGATGTGAAGGAGGGAACGGGCACAATTTAAAAAGAAAGAAAAGGCCTAAGAAGGTCATCCACAGACATTCTACCATGCTCTAATGCAGATCTGAGCTTCTAGATAGTGTAAGTGGTTGATGTACTTGGACTGTGAACCCAAAGGTTGATGGTTCAAGCTCAGCTTCAGGCACCTCGGGAAAAGGGCCCGGTGGTCTATTTCTGGAAAGCCGGGGATCACATCTAGACTCTGACACACATGGTCACACTCATATTCTGATACACATGGAGTGGCCGCGAGTAACCATGACTCCATGACAACTACCAACACCAAATAACAGAGTCCTGGAGGGAATGCCAAGTTGAGACACATGGTAAACTGGTAACCAAAAGGTTGGCGGTTCAAATCCACCCAGAGGTTCTTCAAAAGCAACCTGCTAATCTATTTCCCAAAATCCAGCACTGTGATTAAACTCAGTGGAGTAGTTATACTCTAACACACTTGGGGTAAGCAGGAGTGGTACAGCTGGTTTTAAACAAATCTCAAAGAGAGACAAACACTCTTCATTCTGTTTTGTGAGAACTTCTTGTTGCACACCATCAAGTCGGAATCGACTTACTGCTGACTGTCCAGTGGGTCTTTGAAGGCAGTAAATCAAATGAGGGGTGAATTCCCATTATTTCTCCTGCAGAGCAGCTGGTGGATTTGAACTTCCTGCCTTCAGACTGACACCACAGCTCCTAACTCCCAAGGCTCCCCATAGGGAAGGAACAAGGTTATAAAATTTTAATGAGCCACAACAGATGTACACACCAGACCTGCTAGTGCAGGGATTAAATGCTCAGCTGGGAACCAAAAGGGGGTGATGTGAACAAGCTTCCGTGAACATGACAGCCACGTGGTAAACCCTACGGGGGCAGTTCTGCTCGGTCCCACGGGGTCACCAGGCATGAGAATCAACTGACAGCACCGGGTACTACTGTTTGCTTTACAAGGAAATAGAAATTAATCATGTGTGATAACAACCCATATGGTTCTTCTCCGGTCCTAGAAGTCTCTTAGATGTAAAGAAGCGGGTGCACTGAATTATCACCCTCTTTAATTACAGAGAACACATTCTGTTGATTTATACTACAAACTATTGCACCCAGGTTTACTAGTCTGTCTCTTTCTCAGACACACACGGTGAAATCGACTCAGAGCTGAATTTCAGTTTCTGAAGCTGTTAAGTCACACAGGAGGAGACTAGCTACCTCTGTCCCCTCAGTGTTGAGGGTGGATTCGAACCGCCAGAGAGGCACAGCTGGGGGGGTCGGCGGCGTATCTCCCTATGGAATATGCTACAACAACTCCCTGATGCACTGTAATATCTACTGATTTGTGTGCAACATTTCAGCACGGATATTTAAAAATATGAGGCAGGCCTGAAGGGATATACGGGAAAGCCCTGGAAATAACGGGCATCCTTTCTTTAGTGGATGTCATTACGGAAAGGTTTGTGGTTTTGTTTTTCTGTGTGTAACTGTCATCTGCCTGTGACTGACAGAGGAAGTCACAGCTTCAGAGTGATGGGCTGAGACCTGACCTTGTCTGAATTCCTCCTGCAAACGAGCAGCCCAGGGAAGCCAGCATCTAAGTTCCCAGGCACTGTCCTAGGAAGAACTAGATAGAGTCTGAGGCAGCCTTCTTGTGCCAACAACTAGTTCTTAGAATCCAACAGCTGACCACCATCACATTCAAGTGCTTCCTACAATGTTACATCTTATTTCAATACAACATTCTAAAGACATTCAGTACACTTTTCACCTGTGAGCCATGCCTGAGTCTGTCCACGCGCAGAACGTAGCAACAACCCCATAGGTCTGCCTACGTGGTTCGCGTGTACACCAACGCCATGCCTACGGGTCAGCCCACGTGCCACGCTCAGGCCCATAGGCCCACCCACAAGCCACGCCCATGCAATATCCTCATTGGCCAGCCTGCAGGGAACCGTTGTAAGCCTCCAGCATGCCTATGGGTCCGCCCACGAGCCATGCTCATACCCATAGGCCCGCCCACAAACCACGCCCATGCACCATTCTCATAGGCTGGCCTACATGGCACCCTTGTGCGCCTGGTCAGGCCTATGGGTCAGCCCACGTGCCACGCTCATGCCCATAGGTCTGCCCACAAGCCACGCCCATGCAGCATTCTCATAGGCTGGCCTACATGGCACCCCTATGAGCCTGCGCCATGCCTATGGGTCAGCCCTCGTGCCACGCTCACGCCCATAGGCCTGCCCACAAGCCACGCCCATGCCCCAGTCTCATAGGCCCGCCTTCATGGCACCCTTATGCGCCTGCGCCAAGCCTAAGGGTCAGCCCACGAGCCATGCTAACTCATAGGCCCGCCCACAAGCCATGGCCATGCACCATTCTCAGAGGCCCACCTATATGGCACCCCTGTGCGCCTGCGCCACGCCTATGGGTCAGCCCACGAGCCATGCTCTAACTCATAGGCCCGACCACAAGCCACGCCCACGCACCATTCTCAGAGGCCCACCTATATGGTACCCCTGTGCGCCTGCGCCACGCCTATGGGTCGGCCCACGTGCTATGCTCACTCAGAGGCCCGCCCACAAGCCATGGCCATGCACCATTCTCATACGGTAGCCTACTTGGCACCCCTGTGCGCCTACGCCATGCCTATGGGTCTGCCCACGTGCCAAGCTCATACCCATAGGCCCGCCCACAGCCACGCCCAAGCAATCTCTATAGGCCCGTCTCTGCACCATGTCATGCGTCATCCTGATAGGCCCACCCATAAGCCATCCCTATAGGTCCAAAGACCATCAAGCCCATGCGACATTCCCATAGGTCCAGCCACACGCCACGCCCATACACCATCCCCATTGGCCAATGTCATGCTCATGCCCATAGGTCTGGCCCACAAGCCACACCCATATAGCGCTGCCCACGTGCCACCCCCATGCGCCATCCTTCAATAGGCTGGTCTGTATGGCACTTCTGTGCGCCTGCGCCATGCCCCTGAATACATGACACACCCATACACCAACCTCATAGGCCAGCCTACATGGCACCCCTGTGCGCCTGCGCCATGACTATGGGTCCGCCCAGGGACCATGCTCATGCCCATAGGCCCGCCCACATACCACCCCTAACCCTGCACGGGTGGACACCCATGTGCCATCCCCATAGGCCCTACCCAATGCACTATGCCCATGTGCCACTGGCCAGAGGCCCGTTCACACCCAAGCGCCATGGCCATAGGCCTGCCATGTGCCACGCTCATGCCCATAGACCCGCCCACCAGGACCCCCATAAGTGTGCCATGCTCCACACACCATGCCCCCAGTGGACATCCATACCTACCTACACTCCAGTCCATCTCCTCGGCCGCGTCCCCGTAGGCCCCGTGCAGGCTCTTGCCAGCAAAGTCTTTGGAGGAGAAGAGGGCCGTGTGCACGTGCAGGTAGGACAGGACCAGCAGGAAGGGCTTCTCCGAGTTCCTGCAAACAGAGACCCAAGGGCGTGTGAGCACCCAGCTACCCTCTCATGGGGGCGCAAAACACGGAAAAGCCCTCCTTGTAATACCTTACAGCGTTGGAGACCGTGGGCACCCTCTGCAAGTCTGCAGTTGCAAGGACTAGGCACAGAGGACATCGGTGGTGGAAAAAGAAGGAAGCCTGGCTGTCCAGGTCCTGGTTCTCTCTGTACACTGACTGGTCACCGGAAGCCTGTGACCCTCTATATTGCAATTTACTACCCTCGGCCTTCATACTGGGGAGGTAGGGGGACGGAAAATCTCCTTTCTACAAAGGTTAAGTGTTACGTATTAACTCGCTGCTCTCAAGTTGGTCTCCATTCACTGCTGCTGCTGCTGCTGCTAATTAGAATTTACAGTGACCCCTGTGAACAACAGATCTGAACCCTGACCCTATCCGGTGCCATCCTCCTCATCCCTGAGGTACCTGAGCCCCTAATTGCACTGGCTGTGTCAATCCACCTTGTCTTCTCTTTTGCTGACCCGCCACTTTTCCAAGCATCATGTCCTTTTCTAAAGCCCCTCCTAACAATATTCTCCAGGTATATGAGAGGAAGCTTCATCATCTTTGCCTACTTGTATCAATTTTTCCAAGACCTATTTTGTTCCTGGCAGACCACGGGATATTCGGTACTCTTGTCCAACACAATCAAAAGCCATCAGATTCTTCTTTGTGTCATCCTTCATCAACGTCCGCCTCTCAGATGTATAGCAAATGACGGAAAAGAACATGGGCTTGAATCAGGTGCACCTTAGTCTTTAAACTGACATCATTGCTCCCTCACACCGTAGAGAGTCCCTTCCCCTGTACTGGCTTCTGTGGCTCTGAATCCTTAATGGAGGAAACTGCCTCCCCCCCACACCCCCACCCCCACTAAGGAGATCAAGGATGGATTTTAAACTGCTGCCTAACATGCACCATGTAACCAAAAAAGGGAGCTCTGGTGGCTTACTGGTAAGAAGCTATGCTGCAATCTTGAAGGCATACAGTTCAAATGCACCACCACAGGAGAAGGATGGGTAATCTCCTCCCGTGTGATTAACTGCTTCTGAAAACCTCCTGCTGAAGGGTCAGCTATGGGTCAGTTTGACTCAACAGTACACCACAACGTGTTAACATAAGGAACTCTAATTGACAGGCTGTAATATCAAAAGGCTGTATCTTGACAACAACAATCGGAGGCAATACCAGGTCTGTGTCAGTGGTACTGTCCCCAAGACATCATCTTTGAGGAGCCCTGCTGGCACAGTGATGAAAGCACCTAGCCACAAATGGAAAGGCCATTTGAACCCACCAGGTGTGGAGGAGAGATGTTGTTTTACACTAAGTACCAGAGATGCCTGGTTACACTAGAGAAAAAGGTATCCAGAGACTTAGGGAAGCCAAAACGTTAGAGTGGATCAACCCCATTATCAACTCCAAATCCACACGTGGAGTACCCAGAAGACACAACCTCCACAACATTGATGTTATTGTTGTGTACTGTAGAATCAGAACCAACTCGTAGCTGACCCTGCAACAGGTTTTCAGAGACAGTAATCACTTGAGAGATTAACCATCCTTCTCCCCCTGAGTAGCTGGTGGTCTCAAACCACATGTCTTTGGGATTGCTGCATATCTTCTTACCACTAGAGCACCAGAGCCCATTTCACCACATCAGTAAGGAAAAAAAAAAATTTGTGAAGGGAGTTGTAACATTCTTGAAGATCACGGTAACTGCCGTTAAGTGTAAGCCAGACTTGGTTGTGGGAAGCGTACTAATAGAATTCAGACAAATCACGGATGTGTCCCATCTTCATATCTTTTCAATCTATATACAGAACAGATTATCTGGGAGGCTGGGCTTTATGAGGGGAAGTGTGGCATCAGGACTGAAGGTAGACTTATCAACAATCTGTGTTATGCAGATGACACAATCCTGCTTGCTGAAACAGAGAGATGTGGGACCCTGCTCCCATTAAGACCCCACCCTCAGAAATGCGATGGGGAAGTTCTACTCAAGACCACAACTGCTATCTTTCCATTCTTCTGTGTATTCAATCTTACTCCCATGGCTGATTCCCCTATTCCACACCCCGCATGTGCCAAACAGAACTGATCCATGGAGCTTCTGGGCTGTGCCTCTGGGAAAACAGTATTCCAGGTCTTTGTTCTGTGCTGCCTTAGGGAGGGTGTTAAGAGCTGGGCCTTTGACTGGAAAGCTGCAGGTACACGTCCACCAGTTGCTTCTCGAGAAAAAGCTGCCTCCATCAACTCCTCTTAGGATTTACAGCATGGGCAATCAGACAGCAGGCTGCCCTGGATCAGAAGGGGTGGTAAGGGTATTGGGTTGGGTTGGTTTTTCTAACACTAGAAAGGAGGTTAGTTACGTGGGTCAGCAAAACCTGAGGTTTCAGTCCCTCCAGGGCAGCCTGCAGGAGCTCAGCTTGACACCTTGAGTTGTCTTTACATCCTGTGACCCCAGAAAGACGTGGGTCCAGTTGCACTGCAAGTACACATGGCTGGCTCTCCCTTTACCTTTCTTCCAGGTAACCGAAGTCAAACCCTCTTGCTATCAGGCTGATTCCAGCTCACAGGGGCTCCCCCCTACCCCCGTCTTTCACAGGAGAACTGAGCTCTTTAGGGGTCTTCTTTTCTGGTATTTCCCAGTGTCAGGAAATCACTTAGGTCTTTTTTTTTCTGCAGTAGCCCTTAATGAGTTGACACCATCAAGCTTGAAATGAGTGGTAGAATGTCCTCAACACAGAGGAGCTCCTGCAGTGAGACAGATTCACACGCGGGGTGCAACAGTGGGCTCAAGGACAGTGGAGATGGACTGGACAGGGTTTTACCCTCTGTGGAACATGGACTGGCTATAAGTCAGAGCAGGCTTGACAGCGCCCAACACCACAGCCCTCACGCCTTTCCCTCACATGAATGCACAATGCACACTCTCCTAAAGGCATTTACATCAAAAAGGGGAAGGAGAGAAAGCAGTAGGACAGAGAAAGGTAGTGGGGCAGACGAGGTGGGGGAGGTAAATGAACAGGAAAGACCCCATGAGGACTTGAAAAGATGGGTGAGCATAGGCATGGATGAAGAGTAACAAAATATAGTGTGTATCTATGATTATAGAAAGCACAATGTTCATGAAACACATTGTAATGAAACACAATGTAAATGAAAGAATGCACAAAACACATTGTACCCACATGAAACACAATGTATACAACCAATGTCTGCAAACCAGTTAGAATAGGAGGGATAAAAGGACAAAGACAGAGAATGCAGGCAATGGGATCGGAAGAAAGACATGACAGGGCATGCGTTTAAGAAGGGAGGAGCAAGCATGGCAACCTCCGTGGTAAAGATGGTACCACAAGGAAATGCAAGCCCCCACATGAACACTGGGAGACTGAGGGTGGCACAAACTCTGAAATGCCAAAAATTTGAAGGTCTGAATTCACCCACAGGTACCTACCTCAGAAGACAGACCTCTGGCAGGATGCTGGCAAAAGGTCCCAGCGTTCCAAAGGAAAAAGGCCAGAAGGCAGGAAGGTGTATGAGAAAAGGCTCGGTGGCTAGGGGATTCACAGCGACGGGGTGGCAAGAGGGCAGCTGCACGGCTGAGTCCTGCCACTGATCTCGTAGCATGGAATGTGTGTGAGCGGCTGAACATGAAACCTGTTTGTTCTGTAAGCTTCCACACAGACTCAGCAGTGGGGTGTCATGCACCATCGAGACAGAATGGACCCCTCGCTGACCCCCCAGCAGGTTTTCAGAGGCAGTTCCCCACACAGAAGGGACTGTCCATTCTCCTCCTTTCAGGTCACAGCTGTTGTTCTGTGCCAGCGGTCGAGTCACCTGCTGAACCCTGCTCTATCTTGAGCCAACGGCATTGTCTCTGACACACCTACCCCCGCGGCCCCAGTTACTGAGTCAATCTATCACCTCCAGGGCTTTCCTCTCCTGTGCTGTCCTTCCACTTTCCAAGCATGATATCCCTCTCCAAAGATGGGTCCCTTCTGGCAACAGGCCCAAGGGCAAAGAAAATTCAACAGCCCTGGAAACCTCATTCTCTCCTGCAGAGTCAGAATCAACAGGAGAGAGCAAATAAATATCCCCAGCACCGATGAGAAATGCTAACAGTGGGCTTGTACAGAAAGGTGACATCAAAGACCTCCCTCCAGAGTTCATCAGGGCCCAGGAACGTGTCTCTCGCATCAGGATGGAGGAGAGTGAGGTGGTCTGAGGGGGATGGTGGGTACAAATTCATGCCTATCCCCATCATGACAAAGGCATGCTTATTTACAGAACTCCCGCTTCCATCATCTCCCCATCGAGCAGCAGATTTTTCATCCAGGAGAGGGGAGATGTCACAGACACCAGCACTGGGCCTCGGTGTCAGAACAGAGTGATGAGGGTTTATGGATGAAAAATAAGCCAGGGTAGATGAAGGATGCATACTGGGCTTGAAAACAAACAAACAAAACCCCACAGGAATGAGAGGATTTAGCACCAAGGAACAGACAGTTGGTAGAAGGATCAGTGGCCCTGCCAAGATGGCCATGAGTCTCGGCCACCCCACAGCAGCCCTGGGATGTGCTGACCATCCACTCACTCACTTAGTGGAAGCATCTCAGAGAGGGGTTGGCGAGAGGCAGGGAGCATTAACGCCATGGCCAGCCTCAACTACCACATCGCTATCTTGATGGGACCTTGAGCCTGGGGGGGGGGGGGTTGTGAGGCGGCCCCTTTCAGTAAACCTTGCCTCCGTTTACAGATGACCTTTACGCAGGTTTTCAGTGTATCGCCTGTCTACAGAACGGCTGGTGGATTCAAACCTTGTTCCTCCGGGTTGGCAGCGTAACTCCTTACCCACTCGGCCACTCAAGCACCCTGCTCACAGTCTTGTGTGACATGCGGCCTTTGTGCCTCATTGACGTACACTTAAGGAAGTCAGTCTCTGGACAGTCTGTCCCACC